GCAGGAAGTATGTCCCCACTATCGTCACGCAAACCGTTACGACGACGAGAATCAGAAACACCAGCAGCATGAACCCGTAAACGTAGTAAACCTTTTGATCCCGATAAAAAAAAACATCAACAAATAAACATCAGAACTAGCAAATCTTACACTCATCACAAGGGGTGGTCATTCAGTTTGGTTATTCACTTATTCATAAATCAGACGATCCAAACGGAATAACACGAAACTACAACCGAACCGAACCCAAATCGAATACAAAAATACCCAAAAAATCATAAATTTTCTTTTGAAAATAAGTATTTCCATCATTAAAAAACTAAACCCGAATGGAACTCAATCTAACATAAAATCCGAATGGGTATAGAGTTTCTAAAACTGAGCCAAACCCAAACTGAAATGGCCACCCTACTCATCACTGTGGTTTTAGTTGTCAGACCTTAAAAAAGAACAGCAACTCGCGTGAAAGCAGTACAAAAGCTTACCTTGTAATTCCAGAAGGAAGTGAAGACGAAGTACATCTCGATGAAGATGCTGCCAAATGGAAGTAGGCCTCCCATCATTGAGACCACCGATGGTGCCAGGTACCACTTTTTCTCGGGAATTGGGCGCGGGATTGTTTTCACACGGCACGGGTTGTTTGGAGCACCGCTCCGGTTTCTTCCGACGACTGTTCCGAGGAGCGCTAGAGGGAATGAAATAAAACCCCATATGACAAAAACAACCACCATTGTCCCGAAGGGAATAGCCGCAAGGGATCGGTAGAATATGGCGATTGTGTTGAGGACAAAGCCGATCCCAAAGCACATAAATGGGAAGAGAGAGGCTGTGAGAATCATGCACTTGATCCAGTGTTTACCTGAAAACCCCAACAATGAACAAACTTAGACAATCCTCGGAAAGTACAATCATCGAGCTTTTAGATGAAACCATAGTAAAAAAATGTGTACCCCCATTTCTTGAGTACATCCCACCACTCACGTAACCAGAGACAAAGGAAGTCAGAGCATAGCAAACTATGAAAGTTGTGACAATTGCTCCTCTCCTAAACAAAAACAAACACAATAATAATCAGTCCGTGACGTGAGAAAGAAATTCAAACCGGAAAATCGACAAAATTCACCAGCAAGAGAAACTCAGAGCTGAATAACATACCCAACATAGAGTGTACCAACAATTGCCAATAAAATGACAAGAAGAACCAGCAATGCCAACTGGGCACCAGTTCCAACAACAGCTGAGAGGAGAGACAGACAACGGGGTGGACGGAACACATCCCCATGCACAAGTTTCCAACCAGATTCTTCGCTTACATCCCGTTCCTGTGCTTCCACATAATAATGACTGTCAGAAATGAATTATACTCACTTAAAATAAATAAATAGCATTTGACAAGCTGAAAAAATTTCTGCAGCTATGAGATGTAAAAGGCAGAGAAGACATCACCAAGCTCTCCAAATCATCATCTTCCCGAGCATATTTTGCATAATCATTTCTGAGAGTTCTCATTAATATCATCGATACCAGACCAGTGAGGAAAATAACCATCATGAATGAGTTGAAAATGGAGAACCAATGGATCTGCACACGGAAAGGAACTCTTTATAGAGATCGATGAAGCATCTTGACATTTGACACTGATTCCATTCATCAAGGAAAAAAAGAAGAAGCATTTTCTGAATACCAAACATGAGAAGGATGAGAAAATAAAATGCCATAGCATACTCAGGATTTACCTGGTGCTCAAAGAAAGGATAGTCCAGATAAACATCAAAACGACGAGCAAACGTGACATTTGTCGAAACCCATTTCATGGAGTACGTCAAGTCAAGTTTCCTCCCCGGTTCCAATGGCCTTGGATTATCTTGAGTGAGATTAACATGAATGATCTACAAGTAAATAATAAGAGAAAACATCATTATAACAAGTAGTAACCTAAATTTCATAATATGGCATTAAGAATGAGAAACTACTGACCTGGTCTTTGTTGTATTTCACAACGATATTTTTATGCGTGTAAAGGACATGCTTTCCGTTATCACTGTTTTTGTCAGGATGCAGCTCACCCACAAAACCTAGAACAACAATACGATAGCTCGAAAAAATTAGTCTAAAGATGAAATAGAAAATGATAGATTTTTTGAGGTTCTCAGTATATATATATACAAGAGCATACCCCACAATGGCAGATCATCTGATCTTGCATCCAGCAAATGAAAGGCAGTGTACATCAGAGGGGTGAAGACGACACAAAAGGACATGTTAGCAGTCTATGAAGGCTTGGACTCAACTCCAATAATGTGAAAAATAGATACTATATACACCCCTTAGTCTCCTACATTTTCCAACGTCACAAGTAAAGTTGACACAATAAAGGAGATAACGACAGCGAACTTCAGACTTGAATGAAGAAACATGAAACCTAAAGCCAAGTCTTAAAAGCATGTCAAAATGCTTCCAAAATTCATGTAATATTATTATGTTAATTATGACCGACTTTCCTTTAAATGCATAAAAGCTTTCAAATAATATTCAACAGGTTCTTTTTCAAAACCATACATCTTGACAATCCATCCGCCACATGTATAAGTTAGTAGAATGCATACCCATGAAGAATTCAAACCAATAACTATTTTCAATGGCATCTTTAAACTGCTTGACATTTGCTTGAGTGAGTTCCAGTTGACAGATCACTTTTCTGTCGACATTTTCTGGCAGGAAAATCAGAAAAAAAAATGTGAGTCAACTCTAGCACAGCAAGGATACTCACAAGAAAAACGTGACAATGCATGAAACTCCAACATACCCAAGAACTTAATGTCAATCTCGCTGTCAATAAGCTCGTTTCCACCAAGAACCTCACCAAGACCACCCCATTTGTGAACACCATTTCCAGATGCGTGGCAAAATGGAAGACTGTAGTAGTTATACGTTTCTTGTGGGTTGTTATAAGGGCCAACTTTGTTCACCCAAAGGGCAACCCGCTCACTGGCTTGATACTGGAAAAATATAGGGATATAAATTTCAGGAGTTGTGAAAATAAAATGAAAGCAAAAGCAAAGCTTATTGGACTAAGACAAGCAGAAAAGAAACAATCAAGTAACGATTCCGGAATGAAAAATTAAGCCTAGATGTACATTGCAGCGCATTTCAAATGATATTCTGTGGCATCTGTGCACAGCGTAGAGTAGGCAAATCAGTAAATATGCATACACAATATGGAAGTGAGCTTCAATCCCCTTCTCTTTGTAAGAAAGTGGGAAATTTGACAGTTCATACAAACAGTTAAAAACTTCCTAGCAGCGTTTAAGAATAGAAAAACAAATAAGAAACTTTATCTGTTCTGCTGCTGCTACATTTCGGACATTAAAAATAAAAGATTGGATCTAATCATTTCAAGGGTAGTAGACACCATATATATATATATAAAGGGTAGGGTAACTCCGTGCACAAAGCATCCTGTTGAGCCGGGGTCCTGGGAAGGGTCCCACCACATGGGTATTGTAGGCAAACCTTATCTTGCAGAATATTTCTACAAGAGGCTGCTTCCATGACTCTGAACCTGTAATCTCTAGGTTACAACAGCAGTAGCAACAACTTAACCGGTGCGAAAGTTAAATTATGAGAGATTTTCCGTTAAAAGGAATAATTTAATCATTACGAAGCATTTCACCTTGCTTTCAAATCCCCGAAAATATAGACACAAAGTCTAAATTCTTCTCATTAGACTACCAGATTGCTACGATTCCCTTTATCTATCGTTTTGTAAGATAAATGTTAAATTTGACATGGCATTTAGCTGTTAGATACTTTACGGAGGCTAAATAAAACTAGTAAGAGTAAACTTGAAAATAAAATCTCCTGAAAAGAAAGGCAGAAAGAAAGAAAAATCATACCACCCAAGATCTCAAAATGTCGACTATGAGAAAAAAAGATAGAAATAATTTTGATGGCAAATAGACCACAATCAGACTCTGACTTCAACATTTTACCATGCAGTCACAATCTAGGGAAAATTAGAAACATTTTGGGATCTTATCTCTTATGCCACTAAGATCTAAAAATCTAAAATAGCCTGACAAGAAATCGAACATGGAATCCATTCCCAGTGCTCCCAAGTATGCAGCACAAAAGTTGAATGAGCAAATGATCTCCACAAAATCCCATATGTCAAACGGGCACATGAAACATCCAATGGAAATTATGCCCAAAAAGGCAAACACATTAGCACTGATCCAAGTAGTCTCCACATCGAATTGACGAAAATGTCAAGCAAACGCACCTTAAAGACTCAAATTCAATGTAAATCTTCACACAGCAAAACCTAGTCTATAATGTCAAGATAACGAGACAATACTATCAAGAATAGCAATGAAGAAGCAAATGGTAGAAACCTCGAAGCCCCAACACCGAAGAATACGAATAGATCCAGAACAAATCCAACCATAGACATCATGCAAATCACGAGATGTAACAAAAAAGAGCTCGATTCAAAGACCACACCAACACAACAAAAGCATAACAGTAGACCACAAGAGATCCGAACCTAACCTTGTGATCTGACTCGGACGCGAGAGCGGGGGCAAGGAGAAAGAAGAAAACGGCAGAGAAAACCGAGAGGAGCGATCCGACGGCGGAGGAAGACGCCATGGCGGAGTCCGGCGGAGAATCAGATCTGGAGGAGAAAGAACACGACGACGACGGAGATGACAGCGACGGTGGCGGAGAAAATGCTAGACCAATGACTCGTCTCGGCGATTCGATCGTCGCAGCATGGATATTACCCCTCTCTTGTCCTCTGCAGAGAGAGAGAGAGAGAGAGAGAGAGAGAGAGAGAGAGAGAACACTTAGCAGAGAATCAGAAATCTTTGGTACTCTTCTCGCTCCGTAGTCTTCGCGGTAACAACAAAACGCGATAGCGTTAGCGTTTTCAAGTCATGCGTTCTAATTTAATAGGCCTAAGTTTGCGGTCCACATTATGAAATAGCCCATTATAAGTACTGTAGGCCCATATTTATATGGACCGGATTATTTATTCGTTCCCGGTTTAGAGCTACGGATAAAATTATATATCTTGGTCCACTATATATATTTGGTCTAGTACAATCTTATATAACCAAATAAACAATTCCCAGAAATTCCTAATCTAAATCTGAATTATTGATTCAAAATTTATTTGGTATTCAATATAATAGAATTTTTTCCAATCCAACTGGCATTAAAACCGAACCAATTAATTTTTTTTTATATTCAGATAGTTTTATTAGATTTTCAGTCTAATTATATTAATCCTGAACCGAAAGATAATCTTGTTATAATTAAATTGTATTTTTTTCTCTCACCCGCTGCAGGAACATGGGACTTGGTAACTAACCGTTGATTCTACTTTCATACAATTTTTATAGAAATAAATAAACCGTTTAAAAAAAGAATTCGACATTGGAACGAAATATGAAAACGTTTATCCCTACTAAGTCACCATTGTTGTAAAATAAATTTTATTTTAATATATGTCTTTTAATAAAGATAATTGGACGTAAATAAATGGAAAAATAAAAAATGCTTTTTTAAAAAAATAATAGTATTAATAATATTCGAATTCAAATTAAATTTAGATCAATGAAACTCCAAATGTTTAGCTCAAAATTTTTTTGATCTTTAGAATGTGTACAACGCGCGTGGAAAAATTAAGTAAAGCAAGTACACCAATTTAGTCCAATTTTTGAAATTGTTTTTATTCAAGATTATTTAAGTGTATGATTCTTATGATGTTGGATAACACATCGTATAATGAATGAAAAGACAGTTTTGACTCCAAAAATATATAAAAATATGTAAATCACTCAAATAGAAACAAATACGATATTACATATTTTATGGTATGAATATATCTCTTTTCATTTACATATTTTCGATCCCATATCACTAAAAGCTTTTAAATAGAGTAATTTATGAGAATATGGACGAAAGTAAAAATTTTAAACAAAACCAACTAAATATCTATTACAAATACATTTTTATAAAAAAATATTAAAAAATATTAAATTTTTTTAAAAAAAATTGTCTTGTGGATCAGTTCATTCAACCTATTTTTTTTTCACTTCAAATTTTCTAAATCAAATTCAAAAAAATATAGATCGGAATCCATTTTAGAGCCCTGCGAGTCCTACGAGTATTAGACGGGGAAACATATTCCGTTCGGACAACGACACTGGAACGAGCAACGAAGCAAACTAAAACACATGGGGAATGGAATGAATGCAATTGGAACCTGTGGGTCCCACTTTTATCTTTCTTAATAAAAAAACAAAAAATAAAGGTTGAAAAAATGAGGCAGCGTGAGAGAGGGAGATTCTTCATTCTCATCACCATTATTATAGCCCAAAAAAAAAGTCCAGAGGAAAAAAAAAAGGAGAGAGATCAAAATCTAAAATCCTAAAAGGACGATTTCTTCCCTTTGCCTTCAAATCTCTTCAATCTCTTCTCTTACCTTCCTCCTAATTTCTCAATTTTTTCCCCTCTTCTACTATTTTCGGAAGCTGTAGAATCTCCGAATCGTTTCTGTGACTTTGATTGTTTGGATTTTGTTTTTCCGGTTTGTTTTTTTTTTAAGGATTTTGCGTGAAATGGGTGTGGGCTTGAGTCGTTGGGCGTGAATCGAAGTTGAATTTGCAGAGAATTAGGAAAATTTGGGTCTTTGGTCGTCTGGGTTGTGGAGATTTTTAGGGTTGTCGAATTTTTCTGTGAGAAAATGGAGAAGTACGAGCTGGTCAAGGACATAGGTGCTGGGAATTTCGGTGTGGCGAGGCTCATGAGGATAAAAAACACAAAGGAACTCGTTGCCATGAAGTACATCGAGCGTGGCCCAAAGGTCTGGAATCACTTTCCTGTATATGCATGTGTATATGTGTTGTGATATTGGATATATTTTGGTCCTTGTTGCTGTTGTGTCATGGAGTGCAAACTATTGGTTCATCTGGGCATTGGAAACTTATAGATTTCGTGTTTTTAACAGTGTTATCTTTGCTTTTTTGGAGTTCAGTTGTCGCAGATCCGAGGATGTAGTGTCTGATGGCAGATGTTTTCCGGCTTTGTTTTGTTTTGATGTGCAGATTGATGAGAATGTAGCTAGAGAAATCATAAATCACAGATCACTTCGCCATCCGAATATAATTCGGTTTAAGGAGGTACATGCATGTGTTTTGTAAACCTAAGTTTGACTTGTGTTTTAGATGTGATGAAAGGGCTTAGTTGAATTTGGCAACTTCTAATCTTCTTGCTTACGGCGGTTTTCTGGATTTTACAGGTGGTTTTGACACCGACCCATCTTGCCATTGTTATGGAATATGCTGCCGGTGGTGAGCTTTTTGAGCGTATATGCAGTGCCGGGAGATTCAGTGAAGATGAGGTGAGCTTTGCATTTGGTTACTTTATTCTTTTAGGCCGGCTTTCATTTTTCTCACGGTCTTCAAATGCTTTAAGAAGACAGTAAATCGGGAACACATTTAGACCTTCCAATATTTGATGTCATGGACGATGCATGTGAAACATAATCGACCTTTCATGTGTTTTACATCTAAATGGAACATGCATTTCATTGTTTCTCATCCCTTTTCTTTCTATCAGGCAAGGTACTTTTTCCAGCAGCTCATATCAGGAGTCAGCTATTGCCATGCAATGGTAAGGAAATACATTGACTTAAGAATGTCACGGAATCCCTAGAAACATGATTTTTCTTCATTTATCCATCCTGTTATCACAATCGAATTCTTTAACGTTTTGCAGCAAATTTGCCACAGAGATTTGAAGTTAGAGAATACCCTCTTGGATGGAAGTCCTGCTCCACGTCTGAAAATCTGTGATTTTGGTTATTCTAAGGTTCATGATTTGTTTCGAGCATTTTTTAGAAAGTATAGAAGTTTTTTTGAGTGTCATCTCTTTAAAGTGCTTTCATTTGATCGGCTTTTATTTCCTTGGTAGTCCTCTTTGCTGCACTCAAGGCCAAAATCAACTGTTGGCACTCCGGCTTATATTGCACCTGAAGTCCTTTCACGTCGGGAATATGATGGAAAGGTAATCTTATCAATATCTGAGCCTTGGATCTGTTCTGCTTTTGCTCCTTAGATATTTACTAGATTAAAATGCCCTTTCTTTATGCTTCTGAGGAGAATCTGAAGGCTTTTGATTTGACTCGTTTATGATTTTGATAAACGAAACCAGGCCTATGGGTACCTATGATGGTGTTACGAGATTGAGGAACTTGTTCTCTTCCATGTTTGTCAAATAATCCCTAGGAATTTGTGGACTAAAGACCTTAGAAATGAAATTTATCGAAATACTTAACCAGATCAGTGATATCTCTTCTTTGTTACATACTTGTACAATTTTCGACATTTTTTCTTCCAGATGGCTGATGTATGGTCTTGCGGTGTGACCCTTTATGTCATGCTGGTTGGGGCATATCCATTTGAAGACCAGGAGGACCCCAAAAACTTCAGAAAAACGATTCAAGTGGGGTTCTTTTTTAAACTTATTCTTCCCTTTCATTGATTTTTCGACACGATATGCTGAAATCTGAACTACCGATTGGTTGGTTTGTCTTGTCACAGAGAATAATGGCTGTACAATACAAGATTCCAGACTACGTCCATGTAACCCAAGACTGCAAGCATCTCCTTTCTCGCATATTTGTGGCCAACCCAACAAAGGTAATCATCTATACGATGATGTTTGTTTGGAAAACTAATGAAAGGAATCATTGTTTTCGGTATTAACTTTTCCTTTGCAGAGGATCGCCATTGCGGAGATCAAGAAGCACCCGTGGTTTCTGAAGAACCTTCCGAGGGAACTAGCGGAGACAGCTCAAGCTGCATACTACAGCAAAGAAAACCCGACATTCTCGCTTCAAAGCGTGGAAGAGATAATGAAAATCGTGGAGGAAGCAAAAGTCCCTCCTCCGGTCTCGCGGTCCATCGGGGGATTTGGGTGGGGAGGAGAGGAAGGTTCCGAGGGAAAGGAGGAAGATGCGGAAGAGGAGGAGGAGGAGGAGGAGGACGATGAAGATGAATACGATAAGACGGTGAAGGAGGTACATGCAAGTGGAGAAGTTCGTGTCAGTTAAACAGTTCGGTGATTTAAGAAGTAAAAGAGAGGCTTCGGTTGGTTGTCTTCTTCAGAGCTGTCTTCTGAGTTTTTTTCCCATCTTGTGATGTATTACATGAAAGTCTTATTTGTTTGGGGATTTGTTTTGGAGTGTCTTTTGTGAAAATAGAAGTAGACGAACAAATGGTCTGTCTTCCATCTTTATGTTGGAACAGATTTTTTTTGTATATTAGAAAAATGTGTGATTTTTGTGAGGGTAACGTTTCCCGTTTCTGGCTCCTCCGATTATATTCAAGTTTGATTGATTCCATTTTAAAATTTTAAAACTATTTTATTTTTATATTAAATTTACTTCGATTTTTAGTTAATGTTCGATTTTATTATTCAAATGTTAATTTTTTTAAAAGAAAAATTGTTTTTTTTATTTATTTTTTATTCAATTCATATTTATTTATTTATTTCTAAAAACATATAGAAATAAACCTAAAAAACCTTCAATTATCATAAAAAAAACTTCTATTTAAAATTTATTATAAAAATCATCAACTATTAATTTTGAAAAAAAACATTAATTATAAAAATTGTTTAAAAACATTTTTTTACTTTAAATTTGTTATAAAAACCATCTACTAAAAAAAATTATGTTTTACTTCTTGCTTATTTTATATTTGAGAGAGATTTCCTTTTCTTCTACTTCTGAGTGAATTTTCCATCTGGAAATTTAATTTTATCCAAGTAAAAAAATTTAACTTGCATTGACGTGTGTATATATATATATATTACAGGCACCACATTCATTAGGAACAAAAGGGCAAAAGAGTCATCAAAATTGTTTAAAAAAAAAAACTAGGAAGGAAGAGGTTGCAAAGAGAAAGAGGTTGGGAGTGTTGATGTGGAGGTTGTACTAATTGTGATACGAGGATGAGTTCTGTCGTCCTCAAGGACAAGAACCTTAAGTGTCCCTGTCTCTCTCAGCCAACCAGCCACGACCGAGCCGCTCGAAATGAACCGCCCAACGTTACACTTAGCCACATGGAACGGTGCACCCATCCCGTTCAAAAGCCCCTCCACCGTTCTCTTTAACGTCCCGTCCCCAACCACCTTGCTGTGTTTTCCCCAACCTGTTAATATGCTGCGAAATCGAAAGCATCCAAACCAAGAATTTCATTTCACCGAGTTGGATTTTTCTACACCAATAAAAAAAGAATGAACGGTTAAGGGGACGAGTTTTTAGAGTATACCTCAAGAGTTTCGGTAACTCGTGGCCTTCGTAAACAACGGAGCGTATGTTTAGAAGCCATGCATGGACCATGGCACAAGCCGCTCCAGATGACATCAAGTGCAAGTCCAAGCAAGATTCAGACCAGACATTCTCCCAAACTTGCCTCCGTCTCGCCTCATGCACCACCAGTTGCGCCCCTTGTCTCTGTGAGAAAACGTTGATAAAGATTAAGCCTTTTTCCACTGTTCATGCAGAGAGGTTGACAAAGTTTAAGCCTTTCCACTGTTCATGCAGAGAGGTCGTCAATTCCAAACTCCATTTATCAAAATTTAGCCCTTTACACATTCAAGGAATTGAAAAAATGAGCTCATGCATGGACTATGAGAAGCAGAGAATGCTTACCTGACCAAAGTGCCAAAGCATGTCGGTTAGAGCGTTGTAAAAGGCAGACGCAGTTGATGAATCCATGGCCTTTACTTGGTCGAACAAGGTCTGAGCTTGGACCCACACGTTTTCTCGGTAGCCCATAAGAAGACCATGAGCAACTCCGTAGACTTGATCATCAAACAGCCGGAGCTCCTCTAGCAGCATTGAAGCATCTTCAAATGAGTAGCAGCGGCTACATCAACAATCATAATATACAGGAAGAATCATCAGCCATTCAGTCACAATTCCGTATGGAGCCAAACAAAAAGCATACAGAGTTACCACTGCCTCATGTAAAGCGAACCCATCAAAAGGTTGGACCTTGAAGCTCCATATCTATAACCTTGACACACTATATATACCTATGATATTACCAACAAGCACTTGAAATGAGTAAGCCCACGATAAACTCATTTTCTTACTAGTTAAAATATCCGATCATGCAAAGGAGATCAATTTGTGACGACCCTAACAATTGGCACACAAATATTAATGCAACTAGCTGAATTCCATGGGAGGATCCAAAGGGGGTCAAACCTGCAAGCATTCAGGATGGCAGAGAAAGTCACGACATTTGGCTTTATTTCCAGCTCATGCATTTTATGGAAAACTTCCAAAATACAGAAGAACTCCTGCCTACTCTCCTTACAGTCTTTCTTCACCCGATTATTTCCCTCGGCAGCTAACCGCCCAAAAATCTTTATAATCCTGTTATCCTCTCTTTCAGTCAACTCGCTTCGAGAGTCATCTTTTCCTAATGAGAGAGTGAACAGATCGGAGGAATATGAAGAAAGAGATGCAGAAGAGGAAGATTCAACATCTAAGCCATTGGATCCACCATCAGCCAAACATTCTGCGGGTGTGGACCGACCAAAGGCATCAATTATAGAGTTGTAAGTTACAACATTTGGTTTAATTCCTTCCTTTGTCATCTCATCCAGCAAAGAAACGGCAGATTCCACCAACCCGTTCTTGCACAAAGCATCAATCAAAGCACTGTACAGCACAACATCAGCTTTTAAACCTACACTCTTAAATTCCCTAAACACCTCCATTGCCTCTTTGTACAAGCCCCCTTTTGAATACACATCAATCAAGGTTGAATAAGTCAGTAAATTAGGCGACAGACCCTCCCATTTCATCTCCTCGAAAGCATTTTTCACTTTGTCATACTCTCCTTGTTTCCCATAGCCTCCAAGAAGAGCATTATAAGTGACAACATCTTTCCTAATCCCAACAAATTCCATTTCTTTAAGAACATCCAAGGCCTCTTCAAATTTACCGAGTTTAGCATAGACTGAGAGTAGTGTATTGTATGAAACCCTATCCAACGCAATACCGAGAAACCTCATCTCACCAACCAAGTTAAGAGCTTCATCGAATCTACCAACCTTAGCATAGCCATCAATTACAGTGCTATAAGTGACAACGTTAGGCATGATATTCTTCCTGGGCATCTGTGACATGATATTAAAAGCCAAATCCATCTGTCCACCTTTGCAAATTGCATCCAAAAGTGTATTATAGGTAAAAATATCCTGTTCAACCCCTCTATTTGACATCTCGTCAAACAAATTCCTCGCTGCCTCCCACAGCCCGTTTCGGCCGCAAACTGCCAACAAAGAATTGAAAGTTATTCTGTCGGGTTGCACCCTGTTTCTCAGCATTTGATCGAAAAACTCCACTACACGCTTAAACTCCACCCCACCTTTTCCACACGCATCGATCACAGCATTGTAGGTAACTAGATTTGGCCTCAAACCATAGTTTTCCATGGAATTGAAGACCCCAATTGCTTCCTCGTGATACCCACTTCGACCATAAGCGCTAATTAGAGCCGAGAAAGCATAAACCGTGTTTCCATACCCATCAGCCAATGCAGTTTCGAAAACTCTCTTTGCAATGCGCACTTTACCTAATCTACCAAGAGTACTTATCATGGCGCTTGATAACTTCCCTAGTTCAGTCTTCTTCCTCTCTCGTTTAATGGCGAACTCGTAAAAGCGAACAGCTTTCTCACACTCACCTTGGTTCCCGAGCTCACGGAGTATAAAAGTGTAGTCATCAGAGCCACAGAGCTTGGACTCGAAGCTCGAGAGCAGATTCTCAAGCCCTTTATCGTCTCCGGCGAATTGAATAGCGTGCTGGAGAGCATCTTCCGCGGCAGAGCTGTGTCGAGTGGCCATGGTGGTTTTGGGTCGCCCAAAGTGCATCTTGGAGACGAACCGGGTCGGTCGACGACCCGAGAAGGCCGGAGACAAATCCGATTTCGGAGTTTTCAGGGGAGACAAAGCGGGGAAAAGGGTCGGCATCTGCGAGAGCGGACAAGAAGGGGGAGCTGGTACAGCGGCGCCGCTTCCACCGCCGCTCGGCGAGGGAGAGAACCGCTGCGGGGCCCATGGACGGTGGTGGTATTTGGGTTGACGGCTCTGGCGATGGTTCTGAGGGTACTGGTGGTTCTGGTAGGGTTTTGTGGCAGTGATCGAGCAGTGCGGAGGCGTAGACGCCATTGAAGGAGCTTAAGCAAGAGATGTATACTTCAGGTGTGTTTGTGTGTGCGTCAAAGCCGAAACTTTTGGGGGAGAGCGAGAGATATAGAGTCTTCTAACCACGTTGGAGTTTTCCAGCAGAGGAGACGATCGCCGGCGGCGGCGGATGAGGGAGC